TAAAAAGTGGCAGGTAAAGGTTTCAGGCCTGACTTGTATAAATAAATCTCATTTAATGGGAGAGACAATAATGGGAGAATTTCAAATGCAATTATTTACTTTATGAAAATGGTATTTTTAAAGGATTCAAAGTTTTCTGATTATCTAGTTGATTTTTAAAAAGTAAATAATAAGTACTAAGTATATAAAATACCATGGTCCTAAAAATATTGCAGCAAAAACTTCCAAACGTGTGCACATATAATTCCCAACTTGTTCTAACATCGGTTGTATGAAGTAAAGCTCCAGTCGTAGGTATAAACACTTGTGAGTACATGTGAGTGTGTGTAAATAATAATAATTAAATTAAGTACATTTAAGCTAACGATATTTATGTAATGATATTGAGTCCTATATTATAGGGTGTTTCCTCCGATATATATAAAACCCTAGCCTAACCCTATCTTGCGCCTTTTGCAATTTAAATGTATTAAGAGTGGAGTTGGGACATCTGGCCGGGCTCAAATCGCTAAAGGCCGACAACAACAATGGCAAAAAAAAGAATATAATAAAAAAAAAAAGAACCGCAACAAATGAAATTCCAACATTAAAATAAGTTTTTAAAACTAAGCGAAGCGCGAGCGGCTTATGTCACACACGTGAACAAAGCGAAGCGGGGAAAAGGCCCAGAGAACCGCAGAGGAGCAGGACAGGCGGCATTTGGAATATAAATTTAGTTAAACAAATCTCGGACGAGGCGTCCCCAAAGGTACGAAATGCAGCCAGAAGGCAGCCAGAAATGCCACCGTCATGTCTGAGTGCTAGGGAAGTGGCAAGGAAGAGGAAATGCGAAATGGGTAAGTTCCACTGCAATTATATAATTTGTATTAATTATATTTAAATTATTTGTAGTTTTTTATTTTAGTTTATTTAAATTAAATTAAATTATTTAAAATTTAAATTAAAAGTTTTCAGTGTAAATTATCGGTTTATTGCGATTTATTTTATTATTTGTTCGACATTTTAGTGGTTTTTTTGGGTTGTTTTTTTTAACGAAGATCAAGAGAACAGCAAATATAATTTAATTTTTTTATTTCGTTTTTATCGGTTTGCTGTCGATTTTTAAATATTTCGATTCCGTGTAAAAATATTTATCGATAATACTTTTTTAATGATTTCCGATTATATATAATGCTAATAATTTTTATATTTTCTATTTAAAATAAATAAAGTTTTACCAATTAGAAAATATTATTTATAAGTTTGTTTGTCGATTTTTAAATATTTTTATTCTCTCTATAAATATTTATCGATAATATTTTTGTGTCAATTCATTTTGAATTATTTTTGTATTCCAATCTTTTCATAAGTCTTTATTTATATATTTTTTTTTATATTAAAATCGAAACCCCTTTAAATGCGACTGTATGGCATACGCGACCCCAGACCCCCAAAGTGCATTTCGTTCGCATTTTGGGGGTTAGGGTTACGTGTAGGTTAACCCCATACTACCTCCTCCTCCTCCTCCTCCTCTGCACTTTCTTGTTCTCGGTTCTTTATCTTTTTGCCATGTAGGCTTCTTCGTTGGCCCCGCCTTTAATCCGCCGCCTCAGCCGCTGACAAACGTCAAAATATAATTTTTGCGTGGATTTGCCTTTCCCCCTTCCAACAACAACAACAAGTAAGAGTAATAAATGTCAAGGGGGGTGCCAGAGCCTCTTTTCCCCAAAAAGAAGGAAAAAAAAAAGTAAAATAATTTTTGCAACTGCTGCCTGCTTCTTATCTCGGGCACGTTAATGTGGCCTATGTGGCTCACGAAAAAAATAAAAAAAAAAAAAAAAAAAAAAAAAAACAGGAAATGTGGAAGGAAGGGTTGCCGGCATTGCATGTCCTACTGTGAGACATAATTTTTAATAATCTACAACACAGCCCCGGCCTCCGAGGGGGTGTGTGTGTGTGTGGTGTGTGTTGAGGGGGTTCCCGAAAATACGCGCATGCAAATGGCTTAATTTAATATATAATTATACCCTGACAACGCAGTCAGGCTTTGCTACCCATTAGCTGGGCGCCTGAACATGGCTTTATTTGGAGTTCTACAACTAGAATATTATTTAAAATAAATATAATATGGATTAATCATTATTCTAATATTAAATTAAATAGTACTAAGCTCCAGGAAACCCTCTGGTTTTTCTTATAAAATAGAATTGTAAATACTATCGATAGAAAAACTGTACAAAAAATGAACCCCCGATTAATTCGATTAATTTTAAATAAACACAAAAGGAACTCTGGCTTCTTTAAGCTAGGAGATTTTAACTATTATCATGAAATAATTAATTTGAAAATAAGTATACATTTCAGGCCACTTAAACCATTTATAGATTTCCTTAAATATCTATGTCCTTAATACCTATCGATAAAAATAACGATAAACCGCATTCTGCAAATGATCCCTAAGGCAAAGGACTTATATTATTTTTAGTAAAATATTTAAAAATAAAATAAATATAAAAATTAACACCCATTATCATTTTATCTATAAAAAATACAATAATGAACTTTACAAATCCTTCAAAATAATTAAAAGACAGAGCATTTCGTAATTCGATCAACTTGCAATCCCCTGACGCTTACATCACGAGTGATTTTCATGATTTTGGCGGCGTTGTTCCTGGTACGGCGGCTACCAACTCCGAAGGTTGTTGGCCAAAAAGGTGTTAAGACGAAGATGCCATATAGTCATGTGGAAGATTGTGGGGTCTAAGCTTCAGATTGATGCCGCCTTTGGCCGCAGAACCCAATCCCAGGGCTGTAATTAAATTATCATGCCAACGGCATAGCGCCATGTGTGTGTGTGTGTGGAGGGGGGAGTGTTGTAATTCAAGCAGGTTCGGCACACCCCCTACCCACGCAACGGGTTAACATTAGCGCACTTTTATGGCCTTTGCAGGATAAGTATCCCCCCTTCGCACCGTGTGTCTCCTTTTCTATGATTAGCTGGCAGATTTATGCCAGCCGCAGAGGCATTTCGTGGCGAGAAGAAAAACCGTGACAACTTTACCTGCACCACTAATTTCATTTAGTTGAATTTATATATTTTTTTTATGTTAAGTTTACTTACAAATAGAATGCTATATTTAACCTTTTTAAATTCTTTTTAAACAATAAATTCTAAATTGTTATTATTTTTGAGAAATAACTTTGAAAGGCTTCTTACTATTAGACCTTTTGATCCCTTTTTCCTTCAACCCACGTTGGGCGCCATTACAAAGAACAGCTTTTGTTAATCGAAAGATCGATAACTAAGTCGCTAAAAAAGTCCCGATCTTCGTAAGAAAATTATTTAAATTGTTGAAAATAAAATTTTCGTATTTATTTAATGGCCAACCAAAAGCGGAGGCTTGAATTCTCCATCCATCTTCTCCTTGGAGAAGCAGCAGCTGTTGACCAAATGTGGACTTAGGACGTGCTTTTAATTTTTAAAAACTGCTCTTAAAACGCGATAAAACACGTTAAAATGGCAAATAGCAGTTTGAGGGAAACCCGAGTAGGGCTAAAAATAAAGTAGAATCCGTACAAGAGGCCAAGTTACATATGTACTCAGTCAGTTACACATACATATAGATAGATATTTTATTCATATGGACACTCAACCCACCCGCCAACAAATCCCAAGTTGCCAGATAAAAAAATACTTAAAAAAAAATATGGCTAAAAAGTGGACGAAAGTGGACGACGACGGTGCATCTGGTAAAAAATGTGTAAAGCGTGCATTTACATAATGAAAGATGTAGCCATGTGTGTGTGTGTGTGTGTAAGAGGCAAAGGGATTAGCGTTGGTCGTCATGTGCGTGGCCACCAGAAAAAAAATTATAAAAAAATAGATACATATGTACATATATAAGAAGAAAATAAGGCAAAGTAAAAAGAGGGGCAGGCATAAAAAAAAATTAAATTATAAAATATTGAAGTAAGAAAAAAGAAAGATGGCAAGCAGTGCAGGCCCCCCTGGTACTGCTTGCCAACACTGAAAAAAAATGCATATCCTAATGCTTATGCAAACTTTTGTTAAAAAAGAAAATTTAATTTTTGTGTTATTTATTTATTTATTTTTATTTATTTGAATTTTCTTATGCGTCTTTTTCCCTTACCCTTTCTCGCCTTGCCTGCAATGTACAATCAAAGCAGCTCACTGTTTGCTCAAGAAAAACAAAACAAATAAGTACAATATGTATAAAAACTATATATAAAAATATATATAAAAAAATATATAAAAATATATATTAAAAAAAATATATATAAAAATATATATGAAAAAAATATATATATAAAAATATATATAAAAAAATATATAAAAATATATATAAAAAAATATATAAAAATATATAAAAATATATTAAAAAAATACATAAAAATCTATTTTTTTTATTATTTAATTTAATGTTTTCATCTATGCATGTATTTTCTCAGTGTACCTAAAATGAATGTCCTTTTAGATACAAATGCAATTTATAAGCACAGAGCTGCTTCCCAAAAATGCTCTCACATGGCTTTCCAGCATCATCCACCCAGCATTCACATTTTTTTTCACAACATAATTTTGAATAGCATTAAAATTATTAGCTACAAATGAATGAAACAAAAAATGCAAAAATACGAATGGAAATGGATATGGGTACCGGGGAAAAGCTAGAAAAAAATGCGAGAAGGACGGAAAGTAAAAGAAACGGGAGAAGCAGCCTTAGACCTCCCAAAAAAAAAAACAAAAAACCTAGGAACAAATGCGCATAATGAGCTCTGGTCAGCCAGCCTAGACGAAGGAGGATGAGGAGGAGGTTGCCAACGCAGAGATTTACGCGCGACAAGTTTTTGCTTTGCCCTATTCCAACCGCCTTGTTTCTTTTCCTGTTTTTCCTTTTGGTGATATTTCTAGCAACATGGCCACACAGAACTTCATAAGCCTGGTCACACCATAGTAAGATCCTTGATCCTTTAAGAATTTAAACAAATACAATCACTTTTTATTGTTATATCATGCTTGCTGTTTATTGGTTGTATAATATTTCAGTTAAACATAACTCCTAACTAGGCGACACACAAATACAAAAAAAAATAAGGTAATAGTTTATTTAATATATATAGTTTAGCTGGGGACATTATAGAGTTACGTAGTTTACAGCTGCAGCTGCTTGGACCTACGCTTGCGTCGCTTACGCGCCTTCCGTCGCAGACGATCGAACTTTCTGATCCTTTCGCATATAAAGTGCTTGAGGTCATCGCCCTCATACTGCCGACTGCACGACATGGTGAATAGTATTAGCGAATTAAGGTAGAAAAAGAATCTTATATCGTAGTCATCCATGGATGCATTGTTAGTCCTGCTGCCGCCGCTTCTTTCACGTTCCTCCTGCCTTTCCCTTTCCCTCTCCCAACGATAGTTGCTGTAGTTGTGCCTCCGCAACTTGGCCGCTGGCAAGGTGAAGCTGGTGTCTTGGGTTGAACGCTGGCGCTTGAACGCTGGACTTAAATGTTGCCGTAAATAATCGTAAATGCTCATGTTCCTGGTAACGATCGTCGTGCTGGTGATGATGTTGCTGTTGTTTTGGGTGGTGCTGGGTGGGCTGCTCATTATTAAACCCTTTTTATGCGGCGCCACATGCTGTAGATTGGGCCAACTGCCGCATGCCGTCTGCACGCGTTTTGGCAACGAGTTGCCTTTGGGCCATTGCCTCGTTGTCGTTTTCAGTGTATTTAGCATTGGCTCATTATTGATGGTGTTTTCTTTGCATCCTTCTTTTTGATATTCTCCTTCTTTGTCTTCTTTCAAATTATATTGTGATGATAGTGATGATGTTGTTGGTTGTTGTTGATGATGATGATCTACAGCAGTGACTGCAACACGTCAATGATCGGCCACCAGCGGTCCCCAGAACATCTTCGATATCTTTGTGTCGTCCTCGGTGAGGAAGAACTGACGGCCCAAATGTACAAACTCCTTGAGCGACAATTGGCCATCGCCGTTCTTGTCTATCACAGCGAATGAAACGGCAGCATCGTCTTCGGTCAGTCCCAGACAGCGGAAGAAGAGCTTGTATTGTTCGAGATCCAAATGGCCAGTGTGATCAAAGTCCACAGCCTTTTGTATGAATAAAATATATATATATAACAAATAATATAAATGGTATAGACCACCTCTCACATACCTTAAACAAATAGGGCAGAAAGCGACCAATGCGCTTGGCCATCTTCTTGTCGTTGAGACGATGGTGCAAATCGGTGAGAAACTGCTCAGCAGTCACCAGATTGTAGGGGGTTATCTCCCCAAACTGCTCCTCCCACGTATGTTTGATCACATCATTGAATTCGGCCGCCACCTCTGGCGTAAGATGGCCCAAATCGTTAAAGCGTTTGGCTAGCAAACTAAAATCATCGAAAGATACGACGCCATCGTGATTGACATCCAGGATGCGGTGCAGGGTGCGCATTTTGCGACGCCAGAAGGCTGAATCGCCCTAAAAGAAAATAAAAGCAAAATAAAATATATAAATACAAAATCCTATAATACATTTTTAAAGGATTATTCATTCCTTGAAAGCTTTTCTATCAAAAGGACTTTAGAGTGATTTTGAAAAGCGCTTTGCCAACTGCTTGCAAGCTTTGGATGCTTTCTAATAACTTCTCCGAGTGTCCTGTCCCGCACTGCTTTTTAAATTTACTGCTTAGCATGCTTTAAGCAACAGAATGTCCTGCAACACTGCTTGAAAAAGCTTCAACATGTCCTGCTACACGTCAACTTTCTCTATGAACTGCTTGAAAAAGCATGAAAGCATATCCAGTTACTTTTTCTACTCTGCTTAAAAAGCATGAAAGCATGTCCTGTTACTTGGAAAAGTCTAAAAAAAAGTTGTAAGCCTGGCAAAAAAAAATATTTTTAAAGAAACTTATATATTAAAATCAACAGAAAAAGCTCTCGACATATTAACCAAGTAAAGCTTTGATCTTGGAAAACTGTTAACCAAAATCGCTGTTAAAACCAGGTTACAATGTTAGCAAAAAGCAGATTGAAATCACTGTTAAAACCAGGTTACCATGTAAGCAAAAAGCAGGTTCAAAAAAACAACATTGAGACAATGGAAAACTGGCCTTTTCAGATAAAAAAAATTTCGAAACACGTTTCTGGCCTTTGCCTGAGACACGTGGAGGCGTGTGTGCATTTGAATGGATTTTTTTATGGTTATATATATTTATGGTAGGGGGTTTGTTTGGTCTGGCAGTTCACTCACCCGTTCACTGCGCTTGGAATCCATCTTCTGGCGACGACGCTCGAACTCATCATCCGAATCCGAATCGCTATCACTCTCCACCTCTCGACGCAGTTTGGCCGCTCCGGCGGATTTCTTGGAATATTGACGGACGGCCTGGACCACCGCGGTGGGCATTTGATGCCACAGCAGTGAGTGGGTGTGTGTTCCACCAGTTGCAAGGAACAGGCGCTGCAAACATTAAAGGATATAATACGATATTAATATTTACAATTTAAATATATACAAATATATTGGTTATATATTAAACATAGAAAAGAAATAGCTTCTGAAGTTATAAATAGTTTATTTAAGACTTTAATTCAATATTTTATTATTTTTTAAAATTTTTTAATAGCTCCTAAAAACCCCTAATATTTACCCTTAACCTAAGTCACATTTAAATGTTACCCAATTTCATTTTGTTTGTTTTTTTTCTCTTTCGCTGTGGTTGCCATGCCCTTCGACTTGTAAACAATCATTATGTTTTTAATTACAACTTATGTGTGCGCTCTGTGTTTCTATGTTTTTGTGATTGTTTTTTCCTGCTATTGTGATTGCAGATGTTGTTGTTTTTCTGGCTATTGTTAAGGTCAGTTCTGTTTACTCGCAAATAACAAATCCAAGCCCCCGCTGCTATGCGTTCCTATTTTCCCAGTTATGTTTGACAGAGAGATCATGCTTCTCTTTAGACAAAGCTTCAAGCAAAACACGTGGCGATCAAAGACATATTCAACCAAAATGTAAAGCTGTTTTCAAGAATTATTTATATTTGTTGCTTTTATTATAATGCAATATGAAATTTAATTTAATTTAATTTTTTATGAATTTAGAGAAAATATATCCTTTAAGAAATATTATAATAACTTTTTATGAATTTAGAGAAAATATCTTAAAGGATTTCAATTAAAAACTATACAAATAAAAGAAAGAAAATTTTGAAAATGAAGTATAAAATATTTACACATTTGTAAAAGTATTTTTCAAACCAAAATCGTAACCCAATCTTTATGTAAAGGTGACTATACATATATATATATTTTAACATCTTGCTTAATTTTAGATACCAAAAGTGTCTTTTTCCATCATCTGTTGACAGCTTCTGGCATTGCCATTAGGCAAAGATAAGGCAGCTGAAAGCCGAACTCATTTTAATTACAAGAAAACCAGCCACTAGAAACCTCATGTAAAAAATGCCTTCAAATTCAATGGGCTCGATAAGAAGGGAACCCGAAAAAAAAAACGAATCCGACAAACACAGATGTTGGCAGCCACCGACGACAACGATGATATCATATACGTGGTGGCCCATTATCATACGGATGGTATTTTGTTGGAACCTTTTTGGGGCTTGTTCGCTTGGTTAAACGAACTTTGGATTGTTTTTTTCGTAAACAAGTTTCTCCGAAACCAAAAAGCCAGCCACGTTTCAATTAATGAATGCAAAAAACAGGCCTTCTTTGCTTTAAAAATCGTCTGCCGGCAATACATGATGAACAAAAAAAAAAACACAAAAGAAAAACACGTTTTTTGTATTAAATAAAAAATAAAAACAAAATAAGATAATGATTTATGCTCAGCGCAGAAAAGTGGAGAAGCTGCAAATAAAAATCAAAGTCGAGCAACAGGTCAATGTTAATCAGCGCCAAAGAAAAATCGCGAAGTGGAATTTTTGCAAAATTCATTTCCTGGCTAACAGCTGTTTTTTGTTAAATATATATAAATAATATATTTTAGAGGGGGGAAAAAGGAAATAGAGGGTAGGAAATACCCTTAGTTGGTGTTGTCTTTATGCTTTTGCGCAAGATTTTCCTGCCACAGAATTTGCGCAGTTTGTCGAAAAAAAGAAATGAGGGGGGTTGCTTGGTTGCTTGGAAAACTACGTAGCTTTCACCTGAACACACACACACACAGAGAGAAAAATATACAAAGTTAGCATAGCTGGTTACATAAATTAACATAAACAACATGCTTTTGAAATTTTAAATATTAAGCTTTAAACAACAACAACAAGAGCTTACTAAAAACAAAGTCTTTGGTAGTGTGTTCAAGAGAGAACAAGTAAGAAAGCTACAGTCGCTGGGGATAACAAAGAGTAAACTTACAGATGCCGAAACAGGCGGCTTTTGATTTTTCTTTGCTCTCATATTTTGCCTATTCTTCAATTGCTAAATATATTTTCAATTATTAAAGATTTTCTTAATTAACATATTTTTTCTTTGTGTACATTTCTTTTGTTAGCATTTACTGTTTATGTTTTATGAGCGTTTCATTTGAGGAAATTGCGTTTTTCAACGCCTCTTTTCTTATATGATTATCGATTGATGGAAATGCTAAGCAATTAAATGATTGATTTTTAAGACATTTCCTAAATTGATATTCTTTCATCGCAATATTTATGCATTTAATAAGGCCTTTTTTTTTAATTAATGTCAAATAATTACAGCCCTTACAAAATTTGTTTTGTTTGTTTCCATTTTCCCGTAATGTTTACCTAAGGCATTGCCACAGTTTCGTGGCAACTGTCCTACAGTTTTGAGAGAACTGGCCTCAATACACCAACTCACACTCCTTCTTTCCTTCTCTCCTCTCTCTCTCTCTCTCTTTTGGCGCTCAGTTTTACCACTCCTCTTTGTTTTGGCCTGTTACTCCCTTCCACACACCTTTGCTATTACTATTTTTCCTTTCTATTCTATTTTATGGGAACCTTTTGTTGTTTTAAAGATCATGAGCATGATTTAACCTTATGTACGATCATGTAGTATTCTTTTTTCTATTTCTTTTTGCCAATTCTTTTTTGAACTTCCTTCTCTCTCTCTCTTTTTCGAACCTCCTTTCCGAGAACCTCTGAATTTTTAACAACACTCTTTTTGAAACTTCTTTTAAATCTCTTATTTTTCCTCTTCTTCTTTCACTTTGAAACTTTTCTTGTAATTGAATTAACAGCACTTAAAATTACACACACACACACTTACATGACAATCGCTGTGGTTGATGGAGATGTGGGCTGAGGAAGGGGGCGGGGAGGCGGACTGCTGAAGAGCGCCGACAGTTGCGGCCATGTTGCGTTCCAGGATTTCTCTCGAAGTGCGCAAAATGCCGCGGCTAACAATCGAAAAGGCCATGGCTATGGTTTATCCTCGATTCTTCTGCTTTGTTTTAAATACTCCTCGCGATTTTTGCCTCCTTTTCCCTTTCTTCTCCTGTTCTTCTTGCACCCTGCTCTTTTTACAGTTTCAGCTGCTTTCAAGAAAATGTGCAACGTTGCCTTGCTCTGCTTGTTGTTGTTGTCGTCGTTTGTTGTTGTGTTTTACGTGTGGCTACTCTTGTTGTTTTAGTTGCACCGCGCATTTAATAACCGGTTTTTTGCCGAAGATGCACCGAAACCAAACAAAAAAATAACTTTTCCTTGTATTTTTCTTTTTGTTTTGCACTGTTACTTCTTTTTCGACTTCTCAGTTTCTCTTTTGAATGTTTTTCGGAGTATTTGTTTTTGAACACAACCGTTCGCTTCAGCGTTCGAATTCGTTTTGAAGCCATTCGCCGCTCTGCGCAAAGAAGTTGACGCCGAAGCTGGCAGCGACGCGACGCGTGTAACGGCAGAACGGTTTGGACTGTATGTTTGTGTGCGTGCGAGGGATAGGCCAGAGGTGCGGGGACTACAGCTGCTACTTCGAATTGTTGCCAGAAGCAGACAGTACCCAGACGACCATGACGGCCAAAAAAATAGTGGACAAGCTTGAAAAAACATATCAATCACTAAAGAAATTATATTTTAATTAGTTAAATACAAAACATTTGCATAGTTTACGGGGCTGGGAGCAAAGAATGTGGTCTTGCAAAGTTAGGTACCGATTTTTTTTTAATATAATTAATGTTTTTCGAAGAAGTTAAATAAGTTTTCAAAAACTGAAAATAAGAATTAAATATGTTTTAAAATTGTAAGAATTTGTAAGACTCCTATTATTTTGATCAGATCTGTATGTACATGCACGTATACACACAGAGGCACACGCCAGCACACATACACACACAAGCAGACCTAATAAGCCGGTTGAAGAAGGAGAAGAAGAACAAGAAGTAGAAGAGAAGGAGTAGCAGGCAAAGCAAAACAAACAAGACTCGTCCAGTGACTGTCAAACCTCGCTTAAATGAAATGCCAAAAAAGAAAAGAAAATGCATTATGTAAACACATAACGCACACATATACGACGCGCATCAATTTCCCATTGATAATGTAAACGAAAGAAGCCACAAAAAAAAATTGAAAAACAAAATATCATAAAAAATGCGTATTTAGGTCGCTGCGTGTGACAAACTGTCGTTTCAATACAATATGCCCCCAATCACCCTTCGCCCCCATCACAGACACACACACACATGCATATTTAGTGGAACCGTGAGCGAGTTTTGGGTTTCTGTTTTTCAGTTTCTGTTCTACTTCATTGCCTCATTACTACACACACACACACTTGCAGCCAGCGTTTTAGAATTTCTAAATATTTAGTAAAAAATAAATTTGGCAATAAGTTTTAAGGAGACATTATGTCAATTATTATTGTATTTGTTTTTAACAATTTTACCCAGCATTTCTGAAATAGTATTTTATTATTCGCTTCTATTTTTAGGACCCACACTGTGCGTATGCATTGGCTTTACATTGGGTCTGACGGTTGTATAATAGACTTGATCAAATAGAGCGCCAGTGGACTTGGACCCAAAAAAATATACATACATACATACATAAGTCCATGTGAATATGTTTGTTTGTATATATGTATGTATGTAACAACTACCGAAAAAGCCGAAACAATGGAAACATAATGAGGAAAGGAGTGATTTTAATGAATAGAATCAGTAACCTGTGAAAATTGGGGGAATTATGCATCTAGATCTTGATTTAATTATTAATTAATGGATTAAATGATATTCGCTTCACTTGCTATCAAGATCAATGAAATGCTGAAAGTGCAGCCATTAAAATACACTGAAAGGCCCGACAGCAGCAGTTTGACAGGCACTGGGCCACCACCAGCCAAGAAATGTTGCACTTTTGTTAAGAAGAAAAAGGGGGGAAAATAAGAAAACCCCCAGCTGCGCAGTCCGCGTCGACATCAACGCAGGCGTCGGGTGCACTGCACTCTGCGGAGGCAAAAACTGTGGCTTGGAAACATGTGATTGTGTGCGAGTCGCCGGAAAGTTCCCCCCCAACGTTTATGCGCAGCTGAAATCAGTATAACTTCATTAGTGTCTTCAATATAAATTTTTAAAATAAAATATTCTCGATTTTAAAAAATGAAAATTTCCAGAGACTTCAAAAACTGTTACGTTTTGGCTTATATGAATATGTATATTGCGAAACTCGAGTTATCCTGATTTTGAGCTGTGCATAAACGTCACTTGTCTCTGGGGTGGACGTGTGCGAGAACAACGGGCGCATCGGTGGCACGGCATCGGAATCGGCTGACTGCTATATCGTCACGTAACGCCAGGTCCAGGGACAACAACACAAAACACAACTGCAAACATATGACCACCAAAACGGGGTCTCGATTCGAATGCAAGTGGATGGAGGGTGTGCAGTTTAGCATGTGCCTGCTACAAATACATAAATTATAATTTGTTTAACGCCATAAAAGAATAAACAACAGTCAAACAGAGGTAATAATTGCAGCCACACGACATCCCACACCCACGAATATTAAATGGACGACATGTCTACGAACTCAAAAAGTTTCAATTGACAAAAAATTAATTAAAATGCGTAATAAGGCAGAGGGCGTGAGTCTATAAAAAGAGGTGTAATAAAAATACCGTGGAAACTCGACTAGGAAAATTACACAACTTTATTTATAAAAGATTTGCCATTTTATTTAACGTTTTACAACCTGTGCTTCTTAGCCAGTCCCCACTGTATTGTAATTGTAAGTCCGCTTCATGGTTTTGCTTCTGTTTTTCGGTTTTTCTAGGCGTGTGCCGGCTTGTTGTTGTTGTTTAAACACACGTGTGCGAAAGGGAGGTAGACATTACTACATTCTCGAGCCTTGTCTTCTTCCCCGATTTGTAGAATCCACTGATTTTCAAAGTCTGCTTTTTGCGTTTCCATTCTGAATTTCAGCTCTCTTTTCGTCGCACTTCTCAAGGTCCCCGCCGCTCGCGACTCCATACATTTTGCTCTTTTTTTTTGTTAATGCCATTTCAGATTTCCGCAACGCCATTTAAATTAATGTGCGTTCGTATGAGTGCTTTTGTTATTGTTTTCGTCGTGGTTCTCTTCTTCTTTTCAGCTTTTTGGCGTACGTGTTGCGCCCCAACGCCGGCTCAGAAAAAAAAACGAAGGAAAAGAACAGCAACATGTGGAGGTCGCTTCATCTAACAGTTAGAGTGCAGCGCATCCGAAGAAGATGAAGCAAAATAAGAAATAGCGAAAGAGCTGCATGCGCCGGCTTTTGTTGTTGTTGCCGTTCACCCTTTCGCCAGTTTTGTTGTTGCTATTTTCCGTATGCGGATTTTGGCACGTCGTCCACACCGGCTTCTTCTTCGTCTTCTCCTTCCTTCGCCCAACCACTCTTCCACTCTCTTTACATAAAATGACATCAAATTTAATTGCGTCGTGCATTTGTCTGTGTGCGGTGAGTTTTCCAGTTGCCTGCACCATAGCAAAACAACAAAAACACGGAGAGCGGCTACGTGCCACTTGCAACGCATCCTTTTTCTGTTATGTTGGGGTAGGTTTGGCCGCGACACTTTCCCCTTTACGCTACTCCCATTTTCCTATTTGCATTTTCAGGCGGAATTCTAGAAGGATCTAGGGAAAAGGTGGAAATAGTTTATTTTTTCCTGTGTAGTAAATTAAATTACAGCTGACGGTCGCCTTATCAGCGACCTGCTTATAATGGCCTGATAAAACCCTCAAAAAAAGGGGAAAATAAAAACAACACATGACTTTTCTGACCATCGCGGGTTACAAAACCCAAAAATCTAGAGATAAAAGCCCGTCCCAAAGTCCCAAACTTTATTGTAAAGATTAGGGTCTGAAAGTAAATACGAAATGAAAATAAGAAACGCAAATACATAAGCACAGATTTGGAAAAGTGTGAGAGAAAAAGAGAGAGATAGAAAGAGAGAGAGAGAGAGAGAGAGAGAGAGAGAGCAGTAATTTTCGGCTGAGTTACAGTTTGAAGGGTACTGCGTGTAACAGACGGCTGTTTGACAGCACTCCACCTGCAGACCACAGTTTGCGAATAACTGCACCTTGAGAGAGAATGTTTTTGTATAATTTAAATTGTTTATAATATATTTTATAATATTTTAGAGCATAGATAAAGTGTTTTAATGTTTTCCAAAAATAAATCAACTGTTTAAATTGAAGCTGCCGAAAGATTTATGCCGCTAAGCATTCCCCTTTAAGTGGTAATGATAAATTAATTAAATTAATCTTTTATTTATGGCCAATAAACACACATTTAGGGCTTGTGCAATTGACCTTCGACAACAAAAAACATTCTTCTGTAAAGGGAAAACAACAATACTTTGCCCCAAAAAACCAAAACAAAAACATGTGAAAAATCTAAACAAACACAAAAAGCATGTGTGTCTTCAGTTTTTTTTTTTTTCGTGTAATCCACACCGGCCCTGATGTCTTGCGATTGAAAGCTCTTCAAGTGCTAAGTGGAGATCCACAACACTAAGAAAAAAATATAAATGTATATACCAAAATATTAAAATTAACACCACATTTAAATAAATAAAAAAAAACCTTTTGATATTGTTTAAAATACAAAACTGAAAATACAATTAATTGTAATTTAATAATAATTTTCTATTTATTTATTTATTTATTTTTTTAATTATTAATATTTATTTTTTGCAGTGCAAAACTCCCATTTAGCATAATTGTAAATTGGTTTTTGTTTTGTTGCCGAAAACTATTTTTAGCTGGCAAATACTATTTTTTTTTTGGCTTTATCTGGCTTCCAAGAAGAAGACGGGAAAGAATAAGGGTCCGACGTTACCGGCGGCACGTTAACAAAAAAGACTTTTGCGTAAACAAAATTGTAAAAGCAAAAAAAAAAAAAAAAGGAGTAAACAACAACAAACCATCAAAATCAACAAAACTTATTACAAAATTAAACACAAACTATAAATATTGATTAATGACTGGTTGAGGGTTTAAGGGAAAGGGGGTAATTGTAATTGTATTGGGCATTTTGTACTTTTGAATTTTGTTGAAATTTTTGTATAAAGTTTATGTAATTGCATGGAGAGTGGTTTTTAATTTGTTTTATTTGAAACTGGCGCCTAATTACAGTGTTAATTAACTATCGATAAGCGATTACAAAGTAAATACTAAAAATACTAAAAGATTCTAGTACGGCATAGAAGCCATACATCTAAAAATACTAATTCTAGTATTTTTGATGGCTCTTGGTATTTGATGTTATCGTTATCGCCATCCCGCGTTTGTTTACCACGCACGTGTTGTGCGTTTTTATAAATATATTTTTTTTTTCGGTTTAACATAAGTTTAAGAGAATGGACAGCGACGGCGATGACTACGAGCTGACCGGCTCCGAGCAGGAATACGATGAGGAGGAGCGCGAGATTCTAGAGGATCTGCGCAAGCAGCGGAAGCGCCGCCAAGAGCAGGATCCCCGCCAGGAGGTGCTGGCCTTCAGTGATGATGATGATGACGACGAGGAAAACGAGGATGTGACGGCACTGATGCGTGACAGCGACATCGAGGGCGCCGAGGATGAGGACGGGGATCTGCCTAATACCATGGACTGGGGCAGCAAGCGCAGCACCTACTACAACACGGACTTTGTGGACCAGGACTACAGCAGCTACAATGCCCAGGAGGAGGAACAGGCCCGGGCCGAGGAGGAGGAGGCCAAGAAGATACAACTGCGTCTGGCCAAGCGTCTCAGCGAGGCTGATTTCCAACTGGACGATGTCCAGGGTATTGGCAGCGACTCGGACGACTCTGACGAGGAGCAGAAATCCAGAAAGCAAGAGTCTAAGACTGGCATCCGGGTGACCAGCGATCTGACTGGTCTCTCTGCCCGCGAACGCCTCCAGTTGCTGCAGAAGGACTCACCCGAATTCCTAGGTCTCACCCAGGACTTTCAGCTACATTTGACCGAAGTCCGGGAGCTGATCACACCCGTTCTCAACTATGTGCGTAACCATGGCGTGCCCCTGGTGCCGGCTATACAGTTTGCCAGCACTTACCATACGGTTTTGACCACCTACTGCTCCAATGTGGCTTTTTATCTGCTGTTGAAGGCCCGCCGGATCAGCGTCAAGCAGCATCCGGTGGTCAAGCGTTTGGTTCAATTGAAGCAGCTGCGAGAGCAGCTCACACCACGCTACGAGGAGTACATAAAGCCGCAGTTGGAGGCTTTGCTGGAGAGGATTCAGGACGGTGATGCCTTTACGGTTTTGGATGTGGCCCAGCGCAAGGCCAAGCTGCAGATTTTGAACAAGTATAGTAATGGCGAGGCGGTGGCGGAGCTTAGTGAGGAGGAGGAGCAGGAGCAGGAGGAGGAGGAAGAGCAGGAGGATCAGGAGGAGGAGGAGGATGATACCACCGAGACCAATCGACGCGGCATCACCTACCAAATGGCCAAGAACAAGGGTCTAACCCCTCACCGCAAAAAGGAGCTGCGTAATCCCCGCGTTAAGCATCGTGGCAAATACCGCAAAGCTCTCATCCGGCGCAAGGGCGCCGTCCGTTCGGTTCGCAAGGAGACCAAGCGCTATGGTGGCGAAATGTCCGGCATCAAGGCCAGCGTCAGCAAGAGTGTCAAGTTTCGCACGTAACAAAATTGATAAATATAAAATATAAATTAAAAAAGTGTAAAATATTCAACAAAATTCCACAAATTTGTTTTTCTTTTTTATTGGTTTTTTTTTGTGTTTTTGTTTTACATTTTACAAACGTATAATATTCAAGTTTTTCCAACCAATTAAAATGTAGATGAAGGGTCCTTACGTCTGCTTGGCTTTGTACATTCAATTACGGTTTTGGTTCAGTTGGTTTTTGTTTTTGTTTAGGTTTTCTTTTGTTTTTTGTTTTTGTGTCTTTAAACTTCTTTCTCTTTACTTGTCCTTGAGGAAAAGCTTTCTAAAATCATCATTCGACTTGAGTGAAGTCTCTTCTTTTTTGCCATTGGACGAGGACGAGGTCGAAGTGGATGTGGATGGCTGTGGTTCTTCCTTTTCATTCTCTTCCTGGGCCAACTCTAAGCGACGCTTCTTGGCCGCCGTGGCAGCTGCCTCTTGGCGCACTAAGGTCGTGGGTATCAGGGAGGTTTGTACGCGTCTCTTGGGCGCCACCTTGGCTGCTCCACCATCAGCTGAACCGGGTCCTAGTGGTTCTGGTGCTCCAGGTGCTGCAGGTTTTGCTGGAGGATTTGAAATGGCCACAAAAATCTAAAAATTACAATTAAAAATCATTTAAAAACAATTAAAAAAAGGAAATATTCTAAAAACTCACAGCTAATCCATGCAATTTATGGCCATTTAGTGTAAACACCGCCTTCTGAGCCGCCTCCGGCTTCTCGTACTCCACATAGGCTATGCCTTTCATCTGTTTTCTATGGAAAAAGACATAAACAACTATAAGCCAAAGAGAGGGAGAGGGAGAGTAAGCCTAAAACTCACTGCTTGTGGACCAGACGCACATCCTTGACCTGGCCAAAGGGCTGGAAAAGCTCCATTAGCTCCTCCTTGGTGACGGCCGGATGCAGGTTCCTAGCAAACACCTTGTTGGTCTCCAAATGGGCTGTAAAAAGTTGGTTTATTTGGAATTATTTCAATTAAAAATTGGAATTTCTTCCTTTAAGGACAAAGGACTCACGCGAATACTTCAAATGGGAATCACGGACTTCGGTGGCAGCCGGCTCAACAGGACTTGGCTTGGCTATGGGCTCCTCTGATGGCTTGGAGGCAACTCCTGCCTTGGGCAACTCTTGCTTTTTGGTACCCATTCTCAGCTCGTGAGCCTGACGACGACGCTGCTCACGATTTAGGGGAGGCTGAGCCTCAGGTAGAGTCTTCTGGTGAGTCTTGGGTTGAGTCTTGGGCTGAGTCTTCTGCTGCGGCTGCTGTGATCGCTGCTGGCGAGTAGCCTGCTGCTGTTGTTGTGGCTGCTGTGGGCGCTGCTGGCGAGTAGGCTTCCTCACATATTCCGGCGGCAGTTCCAAGGCCTGGCAAGCGGCAATGGTCTCGTATGAGCCATAACAACGCTCATAGCGACGGTACAGCTCCTGGACCATCAAGCCATCCTCCAAGCAAGGCTGGGCCAGGGCCTCGCGGAGTATATCCCGGGTGCCCTGCCCGGCATTATACTCGCTCTCCATTTGGGCATAGGCCAGCCATAAAACGCTGCGACGATTGCTGCCGGGATAGCCTGAAAAAAAGAGAATCAAAGAGATTCCAAGGAGATTCCAAAAGAAGCTAAACCCCCAAAGAGACTCACCCATTATCTGACGCCAAATGGTGTTGGCATGAATGGGACTCGCCAGATGGGCATACTCCACCTGTGCCCACAGCTGCAGTATCTCATAGCGCGTGTCCGCCTGCTCACCGTACAGCGCGGACAAATCCTCCCAGACCTTGAGAAAGGCAGCACGCAGGCTGCTCTTCTGATCCTCATCACTGGGATTGGTATTGCGCACACGATACGCCAAGTAGTCCAGATGCAGCTCCACCGTCATGCTGATATCCGGTTCAATGCGCTTCAAAATCTTCTGGATCTGTTCATCCACCGCTGACTGAGCAAAGTCCGCACGCTCCATCAGGACCAATAGCTTGTGATTCAAACGGACACTGGGACGGCAGCGTACACCACGCTTGGCCAAGTCCAGGACTTTGCTAAGCAGGTAACCCCTGCCCAAACGGTCGTCCTCAACGTCTTCCTCGTCAGCTTCCCCTTCATTACCATCTTGGATGAAACGCATGTAGGCCAGCCACAAGGCATCGGCGGTGGGAAATTTCGAAACGGAACGCTCGAAAATGAAACGAATGATGGCATATTTGATATTCTCTGGCAGATCCAAGGCCAACACCTCCTCCACATGCCTGCTGTGAACCTTGGCCCAGTCCCAGTCACTGTATTGGATTCTCATATCCTCCAGATGATGCTTAAAATCGCTGACCACATGGTTTATGGTTTCTCGCTCTTGAACTGTGGCCTTCCAGGTGGCGCAGTGTTTCAGTAGTAGCTCTTGGAACTCGTCATTGTTCGATGTCAATATGTCCCGCAATCTGAGTCCGTAGTCGGGACGCTCTACGTCATAGTCGGCCAGGAGTTTGGCCCAAAGAAGTTGATGATGGTGGCTCATTTGCTGACTCTCCAGGTGGACCACAACGAACTCGGCCAAAGGGGTGCCTAAAGTAAAGAATTATTTGAACAATTTCTAGAGTTTTTGGTAAGGAGGTAACCTACTGTAGTGATAGCTTAGGGCAGTGGCGCATTTCTCTTCGAATTCCTTAAGCTCGGCCTCGGTTTGGGTCACCACTTTTCGTGCCTTGAGATACTTGAGCCAAATGTGGGCTGGAACAGTGGCTTCATTCTGAAGGAGCTGAACGGCCAGCTCGATCTTGGCCAGGTCATTGAGTTTGCTGTGAAAGGGAAGAGGGTTTAAAGGTGTTGCAACTTGAGATCTTGGTGTTTATCCTTAGGCTTATTCCATTTGGAAATGGGAATTCGAGCCGAAAGAAGAAGCCACCAAGCCAGGTTAAATGGAACACTTACAAAGCAATCTCGCTTAGTTTCAACAGTTGGGCAAACTGTTTCTGCGGTTGGGCCAGGAGCTCATCAAAATTACGCTCCCACTCGATTTCTGGACTCTCATCGTCGCTATCGCTGGGCTCGCTGGTGGTATAGTCTTCACCTTTCAAATCCTCGCTGTCCGAGTCCTCAATCACGCCCACCTCGTCTTCATTATTGCTGGAATCGCCTGCTTTGGGCTGATCTTGATCCGATTCCGAGTCCTCGTCGTCATCCGAGGACATAATCTCAATGGTGGTCAAGTCTTGGCCGCCGCCGCCGCCGCCAGCAGCAACGGGTGATTGTCCTAAACGTAAACGCTGGAGCAAAGCCTCACGATGCTCTTGCTTTTTCTTTTGCTTCATTTCCTCCTGCTGTTTCTTCTGCTTCTCCTGCTCCTCGTCGGAGGAGTCGCCCAATACTTGCTCTGTCTTCGGCTGACCAGGTACCTCCATCAGGTCGAACGCCTCGTCGTCGTCATCATCATCGTCGTCGTCGTCGATGTCATCCTCATCCTCGTCCTCGTCCAAGTCCTGCACCGGCGGCATCTCGTCCAGCTCCTTTTCCAGCTCCCTCTCCAGCTGCGGGAGGAGGCAAGCAATTGAAGCCAATTCCCGAGACCAGATCCCAGTTCTCCCCCCGGCACTCACCTGATTCTCGTCGTCCATGTTGTTAGCTTACAGCGGCTTTTAGTCTTCGTTCAAGTTTTTAGCTGCAATTTCACTTAAAAAACAAACTGAAAAGCAAACGAAAAAAAAAATAAACAAACACAAACGGTGGCACTTTACAACTGCAGGCACGTTAGTTTCAGGCACTCGGCTCGAATTTGACTGGATATATGCTTGAAGGTTAGCTCGGAGCAGACCGGTGACTGCTTAGCACTTTCAGTTCAAGTCATCGAATAGGAAATTATTTTAATTTTAATTTTCGTTTCGACTCCGTTTGTCGCCGAGCAGTGTGACCAACAGTGCGGGGGGCGGAAAACACCTCGAATCTATCGGGTTGTAAGATGGCTGGTCACACTCAAGCAGGATACCGACTAAACTAATATTTAAAAAATAGATTTATATATATATAAAAATAAAAAATTTATAAAATATATATGTATATTAATATATATTTTTATAGAAAATATTATAGAAGTGAAAATGAAATATCGATATTTTAAAATTCAAATAGAAATTGAAATCGAAAGCCAAAAATGCATTAATTTCCATTGCAAAAGCTTGTCTGTATTGATTTTGTATTATGTTTTGTACTAAATGCAATTTTAATAAGTTTAAAATATTTTATTCATGGTTTTTTTTTATATATCGGCCACATATTTATGAATCCAGTCGTATAAAAAATACCTTAAATAAAAAATATATATATAAATTATAAGCAACTCCTTAAATTGAATTAAACTAAAATTAAAATATATATATTATGCTCTCTTTTTAATAATATAATAAGTTTAAAATATTTTATTCATGGTTTTTTTTTATATATCGGCCACATATTTATAAATCCAGTCGTATAAAAAATACCTAAAATAAAATATATATATATAAATTATAAGCAACTCCTTAAATTGAATTAAACTAAAATTAAAATATATATATTATGCTCTCTTTTTAATAATATTCTTACTATCTATATAAAAACATCGACTGCAGTGCTAAAGTTTTTAGCTGGTGCTATCGATTTCGATAGACAAACGCAGGCGGCGTTGCCATATCTGCTATGACAAACTACAGTTAAGTTTCTTGGCACCGGCAGCAGTCCGATTTTCAAGTTGACAGAAAAGCGTCGAGTTTGGACGAAAAATCGAATAATGAATTCGAAAGAAAAGCCGAATCCCTTTGGAAACGGCGTGGGGGCAGACCCGCCCCGCGTGGAGGATGAATGCCGATCCACCGATGGCAATTGTGGCGCCAAGGACGCCACCGAACATGTGAGAGCAAGGCTTTTTCCCCCTTTCTGCAGTAGAAAAAAACGGTAAATCTTGTATATATTTATAAATTAGGCAACGAAGGAAGTATTTAGCACTGTGGAGGAACTTTCCCAGTCAGAAAATGCAGATGAACGGGTCAGTTGTGTTTTTTGTTCGCTTGAATTTGCCAATTTCCTGGAATACCCAAAAATTTTAGAATGTTTGCGAGGCAGAGGAATGCGTTGGAAGTCTAAAAAACCAGCAGTTTCCTAGGGAAGATGGAGCCATGGAAAAGGCCACCCTGGATGTACGGTTTTGATATTTATGTTTTTTTTTAATGCTATTTCTCTATATATATTATAAATATTAGGAACTTAAATCACAGGAAGCGGATCGCCTGCTTGAGGAACTGAGCCAAGAGGTCGACCAGCTTTTGGGTTTGTCTTCAGATACCTCGGACACCGATCAAGTAAGCTTACCTATATATTATTATTCCATAAAAAAACCTTTATTTCTTACAATATTTGCAATATTAGTTCACCCTGAGCTCAAATAAAGAGGATAGCGAGGGAAGTAGCTCCTCTGTAGCCTCAAGGAAGCAGCAAACCGGGTCCCCAGAACAAGTGAGCTGTAATTTTTATGTTTAAGAGTTAAAACTTGAAATATTTTTTTTATATTTCAGAAGAAAGCTGAGTGCTTTGTTAAGGAAATGGAGGAAGAAGTCTCAAAGGGTTTTGGTTTCTTTAAAACAACCGAAAAAGCAAAGGGAATAGAGTCCTCAAAGGATAATGATGGAATTGAGGAGGCTAACAAAGAAGTGAGCTTTGATTTTTTCTAGATTTCTTGATTTTATATATTTTATTTAATAATATATTTAATTGTATTATATTTTATTATAAAGAATCACATTAGCTTTCCTGATGTTCCTGTTGCTCGTCCAAAACTCAACGAGTCGCGTTTCCAGTTCCCCGGGGAGACGTCATCTTCTTCAAAAGGCATTTTCTCTTCCGATGATTCAAGACGAGCTCTCGCAGATCCCAACATACTTGAGCCGGAAGAGGAGGAGGTGTTTGTGAAGCCCCCAAATTGGGTAAGGAATTCCCTGGAATTCCCAGAAAATTTCCATACTAAAATCTCTTTCTATCCTACAGCTGGATCCCCAGATCTTGAGATCCCTGCCCAAACTGAAGAAGTCAACCAACCCCTTTGAGCCCTGTCAGCCGGACACGTTCTTTGGCAAGGTCTGGTTTTGGAAAAGGAAGTAACTTGAGCTTTATATTAACCCAATTATCATTTTGCAGCTGCACCAGAACAGTCCCCTGGCCTATACGGGTCACGAGAAGGAGGAGCTGATGGACAAGAAGGAGAAGGATTCTTCTCATTCTAGGAGAAATTTACTGCAGGCTCTAAAGAATAGAAATAGTAACGCGGACAAGGACTTTGAAGAGGATCTTGGACGAGACTTAACGAAGATGAATGTTGGGATGGATTCCCAGGAAATCAATGAGTCTCCCATACTAATATCTCTTTCTATCCAACAGCTGGATCCCCAGATCTTGAGATCCCTGCCCAAACTGAAGAAATCAACCAACCCCTTTGAGCCCTGTCAGCCGGACACGTTCTTTGGCAAGGTCTGGTTTTGGAAAAGGAAGTAACTTGAGCTTTATATTAACCCAATTATCATTTTGCAGCTGCACCAGAACAGTCCCCTGGCCTATACGGGTCACGAGAAGGAGGAGCTGATGGACAGAAAGGAGAAGGATTCTTCTCATTCTAGGAGAAATTTATTGCAGGCTCTAGAGAACAGAAAGAGTAACGCGGACAAGGACTTTGAAGAGGATCTTGGACGAGACTTAACGAAGATGAATGTTGGGATGGATTCCCAGGAAAAGAATGAGTCTCCTTCTTTTGGCGAAGAAGCAACAAAGGAGGTTAATATGACGCTGGTAAATACGTTGGAGGAAAAGGAAATTGAGGATTCCCTTTCATCTTTGGAGTTAACTTACGTGCCAGCTTGTCCTTCTGTGGCAAAGCCCATTTTTGCCAAGGAAACGGATTCTCCTTTACATGTCAAAGATTCTGATAATTCACATTGCAAGGATTATCCTTTAGATAGCAAGGATTCTCCTTCACACAGCAAGGACTCTCTTTCACACAGCAAGGATTCTCCATTTTCATCTAACAAGGATTGTCCCACTTCACATATCAGAGATTCTATTTCCTCACATATTAAGGATTCTCCTAATTCAAAAAGCAAGGATTCTATTGCTTTACTTAGCAAGGATTCCTCTCCAGCGGGAGAAGGACTACGTGACTCGAAGGCACTTAACGAACTAAGCGGTGCGAATGCCATGGACAAGCCAAAGGCTACTGAAGGGGAAAACAAGGAGCAGGAAGAAAACAAGGACCCCGAGGAAAATAAGGACCACGAGGAAAACAAGGACCCCGAGGAAAACAAGAAGCCAGAAGAAAACAAGGACCCCGAGGAAACCAAGAACCTGGAGTATATACTTGAGCTATACGATCCAGAATTTCCCGCCTTGGTCACTCCCCTGCCCATCAAGGAGCTAAATGCCCAGAATCTAAAAACTATACGCGGCATGCCCTGTGCCAAGGGAAACCTCATAAGCAAATGGCTTTACAGTCAGTCCTTCAATGACAAGGAGTACGAGCATAAGGCGGGGGAATACCTGCCCGAGTACTCGTTGATTGTCTACAGCGATGCCGAAGAGGAGACGGAGCAGGAGAGTTTGGTAAGTGATCCTGTGGATAACTTGGATGCTTTGATGGGGAGTTTCCAAAGTCTGCAACTCAATGAGGCCATACCAGAGTGCTGCTTGGTAAGTCAGTCTTTCCCTTTATTTTCGAATAATCGAATCTAAAATGTACGCCTGCAGACCGACTCTGTGTTCCTGGTGGACAAACCTCAGACTGCCATCTCGCAGGGATTCATGATGCAGCCCCTGCCGCTTAAGGAAATCTGTCAAGTGAAGGACTTTCTCAAGATTCGCGTGACCCATGTGAGTTATTAGGTTTCAAATTATAAATTTTACATTTCATTTCATTTCATTTCGTTTCATTTCATTTCGTTTAATTTCATTTCGTTTCTTTCTCTTTTAGGTGTACACCCCCTTTCAGTTTTGGTTCAATTTCGTGAATCGTTTGTACGACACCTCTACGCTCAACGAAATACAAATGGAAATGGGGTAAGTTTCTATGAAGCATCCCCATCTATTTTATCATCAATCTCTCTTTTCTCAGCAACTTCTACAGCGACACGGACAACATCAACTATTTAGACGTTCTGCCGAGATGCCTGATCAAAGCTGGTTACATCTGTGCCATTCAGTTGGACAGCAACTGGCGGCGGGTCAGGATAGTGTCTACTCCGCCACCAGATGTTGATACCGTTTACATTTATTACGTGGACTTTGGTTATGGCGAGGATGTGCCAGTTACTTACCTACGCTATCTAGCGATTAATTTCGGCGAAAAACCAGAGCTTGCCGTACGCGGAACACTTTCGTACATTTATCCACTGGGTCCGCACTGGACACCGGATAGTATGATTCAATTCCAGCGGCTTGTCAATAACCAAGAGCTATTTGCCCATGTCACAGAATTGGATTTGGAGGAACGCATCGTTTTCCTGCGCATTTCATTGAATGAAGAGTTTTTGCCATCGGTGAATAAGTTGCTGGTGGAGGCGAATCTGGCGGGACGGAGCATGCACTATGACTTAAAGCAGATTGAAAAGAATTTTGGAATACGCCATCGCTATTTGAGAGAGCGTCTGCCCAGGTAGAGTTGGTTTTTATTCATTTATTTATAATTTATGAATTTAAAGTTTTATATTTTACTCAAGCCACGAAATGCTGGAGACGGGCATCTTTCCCGTTTTGAACGAGGAGTTTGAGGTGGCTTTTGATGCCATCATCTATAGTCCCGCCTTTGGAAAATTCAAGGTTCCTCAGATGAAGAAAGGTTATGATGCTCTACGCCAAGCGCTGGTCGCTTGGATGCCGGGTTTCCGGCAGGTGATGAAGAAGTGGGCCGCTCTCAACAACGAGGCCAAAGCCAAACTAAGGGCGACTCAAAACGAGGCTCGCTTGGCCTGGCTGTCGCGCGTGGACAAGAAGGAAAAAGAGCAAAAAGAGGCCAAGGAAACGGAGCTACAAGAGGCCAAAGAGAGCGCTACAGAAGAGGAGAAAGAGAAAACCCTATTGACTACAGAGGGGGAAGAGGAACCCCCAAAGGCCACACAGGAGGAAGAGGAAGCCGTAATGACCATAAATGATGAAGATGAAACCCCACCGGTAGAGAGCATGGAGACGGTGGATTGATTCAGCTGCCAAGTTTATTTTCTTTGGGGAATATTTTGGGGAACGGGCCACCAAGATAAACATTTAAATAGACAAATATGTACGAATTTTAGATATATATATATATTTCATTTATATATCTGATATGTATAATTGATATATATATATATATATATTTAAAACATATATATGCAACCCTTTTTTTGTAAGATCTTTAACATATTTATAAGCCAACCCAGACAAGAGGTATGTACATACTATTTATTTTGTTGTTATAATTCTTTTTTTCTTGTAAACTCCAAGTTTTTGGGGATTTCCCCCTAAAAATATTAATCAACTGAAATTGTATATTTCACTCTACTATCAAATTTATTTACAAAAAAAAAACTAAATAGACGAGGAATTTGGTGGCTTCTACGGTTACAACTGGCATCACTGCTTAATCTTCTGAAGATCCTGGTAGTCCGAGGCGGACTTGCTTGAGGAATAGATCTTGAACCAGGGCAGCATCAGGGACACGCGACGCCAGTTATTGAGAGCAGGCATGCCATCTGCTTTGGAAACACTTCGGAAGGTCAGGGAACGAGTGGATGTTGTCAGTTCTTCAGGGGCCAAAGGGGCGGTAAGCATTTCCTGCTCAGAGGATAAAGCTCCTGCTCCTAAAACTGGCTGATGCTGATGTAGAGCTGTTTCGATGGCGATGGAGCTGGGCGAGAAGCGACCCAGTGGCAGAAGCAAAGTCTTTTCGCGCTGTTGCCGGTGCCGCTGCTCCTCCTCCTCCTTCTTGTCCATCTGCTGAGTAGCCTTGTCCTCGTCCCCGTTCTCCACGTGATTCTCTTGCCACCCCTCGTCAAAGTAAGCGGCCTCCCAACCGTAGTGCTCCTCCGCCAGCGGCAGCTTGTCCTTGTGATCCCCCAAGAAGTGCTCCTGTGTGTGTGGCTTGTGCTCAAGTCGCCGCTCATTAACCTCTTCGTCTTCCTCATCCTCCGGCTGCGACAAGGTCTTCTCGCCACGAAGGAAACGCAGCTCCTCCTGACCATTTTCCTCCTCCTCGGAGGACAAGGAGAAGTCAACGGCTGCCCCCAGCCGCAGGTAATTCTCCTGCCGCCTGTAATGCTCTTCAGCCAGCTGCAGTTCGTCCTCTTCCTGCTCCCTAAAGTGGCGCTGCTGTTCCGCTGCCAGCTGCTCCTCGTCCACCAGCATGTCCAGCTGGTTGGGGGTTAGGTTGCTATAATCCGGACGGAAGAGGTTGGGTCTGTAAATGAATAATTTATTATTATTACAATTATTAAATAAATTATATAAATACCTTGCATCTGGACTCTGATGTGGCTGACACTTGGCCGTTAGCCGTCGCTGGCAAACCTTCAGCTGGCGCTGCAGATTCTGACGCGACTGATCGTTGCCATACGATATCCGCTTGGCTGCCCGCTCTCGCCGATCCTGGGCCTCCCGCCGGATATCGGCCACCCCGCGCAGCTTGGAGCGCTGAGATCCCCCAACACCGGCCTCGATCATCTGGGCATTCCGGCGCGACAGCTCCTTGCCCAGTTCACGTGAACGGATCAGGGCTTCGGCACGCTGATGGTGACGCCGTTGCTCTGGAGTAATGCCGGCAAGTTGCAGATGATGATGATGATGATGGTGCCGGTGTGCACTGCGGCTGACCGAAGACGGGGAGGGGGAGCTGCCTCCACCACCGCCAGCGCTAGCAGCCACTGAGGAGGAGCCGCCGCCCTCCTTGATCTCCTCGATTTCCCGGAAGAGCCGCTTCAGCCTCACCTGGCGCATCTTGAGCTCGATGGTGCGATCATTGAACTCCTGGATGCGTTCGTACTCCTCCCGCAGACGCTGCAGCTGGCCGTTTCTCTTGCTGTTGTTGAACATGCGCCGGAAGTAGGGCGTGGATTTGATCTGGTATGACATGGTCGCGGATCTTAATCTTAACTTGTTTTTTTTTTATTATTCTAATAGCACTTGGAAATTTTGCAGCGTCCTAAAGGTTTTTGTTAGGGAAAATACGGATACACGTGTGATTCGAAGGAATACTAGAAAATGGCAGAGGGTGAGAGTGGGAAAGCTTTGACAGCCCAAAAGTCAAGGATTACTTTGTTAAAATCTATTCTTATTGTGATTTTAGGTTCCCAGCAGACAAAGAATCCGAAAAATGCCCGCTAAAAATATAAAATAGGGACAAAGATTCGGACTTAGTTTCGCTAAATGCTTAAAAACGGAAGCGTAAACGTACGATTAGCGGACAAGTATTGCAAATTCTCAGGATTATACCCGATAATGATGTCGTAAAAGGTCCGCAAACGAAATTTTATTCGGTTTCCGAAAACTATAGCATTTTCTGCCACAAAACCCATGACAGGGGATTAACTTTATTATCGTTTATGAGCCGAAATCTGACGTTTTGTCCGCTTAAAACCCGCAAAACTATCGTTTTCAACGAACGTTTTTGACTGCTGGGTTAGGGTTTTTTTTGTTTATTCTTATTTCAACGAGGCTTCAGCATTTTTTAAGATTTTATGATGAAATCTTTGTACTAATCTCTGATAAGCAGGACGTTATCCTGACTATACACACGGCTATCGTTTTCCTGTAAATTTCACCTGTGAAAACTGATCCTATTTTGTCTTATTGTTAAGATTACTTTTGGCCTAACATTCGCTTTTTTTTTTGGAAGCCACGACTCTTGCAGAGAGAAGATGAGGATGTAGTTGCACACCTGTGCGGGCGGAGGTGGAGCGCCCAGCTGGGTGCGTGTGTGTAGGGAGGGTGTCCCCGAAAGCGTTTGTCGATTAGACGCTTGAATGGCTGCCCTGCGCCCTGCCAGGTCTCCCTGGTCTCGCTGTCAGCGCAAAATTGGCTAACGGACAGCTCGGTGGCTCGGCGGAATGCACATGTGTTCGATTATGGCCGGAATCGAGAGAAGCGACCGAGCAGAACCGGCGGCACATGACCTGGACACACACTGACGGTGGTGGCAGCAGCACCAGCAGCAGCAGGTATCTCTCTGTGTGTACCTGAACCTGAAAAGGAGTACTCCTATACGTAATTTGGGTACACAGTTTAAGAGTTGTTTTGTAAACTTTGTAATTATTATTTTAAATTTTTTTACAATTTCAGTGACTTTTTCAAGAAGAATCCTTAGGTTTTTATATATTATAAGGAACCTTAACCACATTCCAAGTAATATTTGTACATTTTCCTCATGTTTTTACAGGTAAAAGTGGTACCTAAGCCACATCCCTTCCCCCTTCTAGATGGAGGGAGGAGGGGGTGCCGCCTCTGTGCTTCACTGACTTCGCACTGCGCAGGGACGATGAGCGGACAGCGGGCGCAGGCGCAGCACAGCCCAGCTGGGAGTTGTGCTCAGCTCAGCTCCTGGCGGACCCTCGCATTCCGTGGCCAGTCGCAGCGCGAGACGGTAGCCAGGTCGGACTAGCTGCTCTCCTTTTTCCAGAAACTCCGAGCTCCTCATATTTGATTATATTATTGTTGTTTTTTTTTGCCGTGTGTGTCCCGTGTCTGTGTTTGTTTCCATTGTAATTTGCCTCGTGACCAGGTCAGTCATCATCACCATGATTGTCAACATGCCTGTCAATGGCGCGGCAGGCAGTGCGACCAACAACAATAACAACAACAACAATAGCCAGGCCACAAATCAGAACAATGGAGGAGCACCTGGTGACTATGGCCACTTCCTCAAGCGAAAGTACGAGGAGGAGCAGGAACTGGCCTTGGGTCACGACTACGAGGCCATCGAGGCGAATCCTTGGAAGAAACGTCACCTGGACTATGATGCCGGCGATCTGCAATTCCATTTGCAGCTGGAACCGCCGCCCACGGCTCATAATACGCCCACATCTGGCGTTGCCGCTGCCGCTCCCTCCTCTTCCTCCTTCATCAACGATCTGTTTGCCTACGACAGCAGTCTTCTGGTGCCCGCCGCCACAGCCACCGTTGCCGCCGGCGGCGGAGCCTATTCCCATTGTCCGCCGGCAAATGTACCGCTGGAGGATAACGGCGGCTGGACGGGCGGTGAACTGCTGGAGCTGGATCATCGTTACAACTCGGGACTGCAGGCGGAGTTGGGTCACCTGAATGCCACCTTGCCGCCGCCGCCACCGCCGCAGCCACAACAGAATCAACAGAACAACCAGAATCCAAGCCAGAACCCAAGTCAAAATCCTAGCCACAATCCAAGTCACAATCCCAGCCAGAATTTAAGTCACAATCCTAGCCAGAATCTAAGTCAGAGTTCCAGCCAGAATCCCAGCCAGAATCCCCATCAAAACCAAAACTTTTTGGTGCCCCAAAAGCAGCGGATATTGACGGCAGGCAGGCGCACCTCCTCGGGCTCCAGCTCGGGCACTGGCTCGGTGGCGGGCCCAGGAACCGATGCCTCCGAGGCAGACTTTGAGGACAAGAATCTCTCCTGGTTGCTCAACTTCAAGTTCGATGAGTTTCCTCACCTGTCGCCGCACCAGGCATTGGGACTGCCGGCGGAGGGCAGTTCTACGCCGACGGCAACGACGGTCAGCACATCGCCCTGTAGTTCTGCATCGCCCACATCCTCAGCCTCAGCCTCAGCCACGGCAGCCGGCTCAAGCCATTCCCTGGGATCGACGGTGATAGATCAGCAGCAGCAGCAGCAGCGAGTTAGATCGCCCAAAAGCTGCGCCAACACGGGGATGGCTACGCTGGCGGGGGCAGGCGATGCAGGAGGAGGTGGTGTTGGTAATGGTGCTGGTGGAGCAGCTGCTGGAGGAAGTGTGGGATCCACAAAAACGGGACGCAAGTTCGAGGAGCTGGTCATGGAGGTCACCTCGGAGTTGGACGGTAACGATATGATTGTCGCCGAGCATGTGGTCGTCGAGGATACAACGTCCAAGGCGTGAGTACAGATGAAAATTACTAGAAGGAGCTACTGAGGTGGCATCTCTTAATGTTTATTTATTTTATTTTAATTTGCTGGTTTTTTAAACCATTAATTACTTAACAAGAAAAAAATTATTTAAATTTAATTTGGATAATTTCCTGTATTAATTTGGGTTTGGTTTAAATTTCCCTTTATTTCTTTCATTAGTTTATTTTCAAATGAACTTCGGCATTTTTTTAAAGTGAAGTGCTTGTTTTTTTTAAGCACAAATTAACAAAAAAAAAAATTATATAAATTTAATTTGTACAATTTTGATATCAGTATTCTTAAATTTCCCTAAATTCCGTTCATTGGTTCATCCCCCAATGAATTTGGGAATTTTTCAAAAGTGAATAGTTTGAAAAAGGTCTTTTAAAATTTAATTTCGTGGCCACTTAGTCTATCCAAACCCTATATTAATACTTCTTGAGTAATTTTCACCCAATTCTTGACTAAAATACAAACATTTAATTAAAGAATGTTGTTTAGATATTAAACAAATTTTTAAAATAAATCCCTAACCTCTTTCCATGAATTTGGGGAAATTATTAATTTTTTAAAACCTTTTAATATTGATTTTCCTTATTACTATATTTTTTATAACATTTGTAAAGCCTCAAGTATATAGGGATATATATTTTTATTTTATTTAAATAATTCCCTCTTATTAAAATATTATTTTCTAATATTTTTCGTGCGTTCTCCATTTGCTTTGTGCCTCCGTCCACCAATCGATGCCGAAACACCAACTTTCCCCCTCCCACCTGATGTCGACGAATGAATGAACGAATGAACCACCCGACCACCACCACCAACCGTCCACTGATTCAACCCAAACCACCGAATCCACCTGGGTGAAACCCGAAACCAACCACCACCGCAAAACAAGCAGGCCAAAGAAACCACCGTTCACCTACACGGAGCTCATCGAATACGCCCTCGAGGACAAGGGTGAGCTGACTGTGTCGGGCATATACCAATGGATATCGTAAGTACCCCAATCCCAGTTATACCCACCCACCCAGCCTATCCCCCCCCGCCCCCTGAAACCACCCCCGTTGATGGACGCCATTTTGGCAGAGCTTTATGTGTGTACCTTGGCGAGAGTGGCAAGCGCCAGCACCAGCACCGGATGCAATTAAACAAATCTCAAGCATTTCTCTTGGGCATTCCCGTTGGCCATTTGGTTATGGGTGCCTGCTCCCTGCTTCTGGCGAGGTGTTGCTCCTCCTGGTTGTTAACCAAACAACAAGGCAACAACCAACAGTGGCAAAAGAGTGCCAAAAGTTTGCAGCTCGAACGATTTATGGGCTTGGAAAATTCGCAAACGGCAGAAAAAATGTTGTTCAACAAGTTGTTTAGCATTTCTTGAGCTTATTTATCAGATTATGGGGAAAAGGGATATATGTAGGTAAAAATACTAATTGCTTGTAAGCTTTAACAGGAAACTATTTCTGGGGTTTTAGAAGTTTAGATTTCACAATGGTTTTGTATGGGTTTTTGGGGTTAAAGTCTTTCTAATGACTTTCTTTTTAACTTGGTCTTAAGGGAGATTTTATTTATTTTTTATTTATTAAAATTTTTATATATTTATGATTTTTTATAAACCCTAAACAGGTCACAATAGGTCTCGGTATTGCATTCCTCTGAGGCATACGTTCTGATCTGTTGTTTATCTGTCTTTCTTAGAGGCTTTTTGGAGCTAGTCTGCAGCCTGTTATCTTTCTTATAAAAACCAGCTTCCTTAATCTTCCTTAATCTTTATAAACAAGAAAGAAATCTAACTTTGGGAAGCAGAAAGTTGTATACCCTTGCAGTTTACTTCAGAATCCTGATATCGAGTTAAAAATTTATCATATTTAAGCCAAAATAAGTATTAAATTCCATTCGGACATATTTTATATGCTACTTATCTCTAGGTTAACAAATCTGCATACAAAATTTTCAATTTTAAAAAATCCTACTTTTTTTTTTTTTTAATTCTTTATTAATTAAAAACATTTTTTTTAAAGGTTGCAATTATTTTTAGGGAAAATCCAAATTTAAAAAATCTGTAACTTAGCCAAAAATACATTAAATTCAAATCGGAAAGCGGGTTTGTCTTAGTTTTTATTATGTTAATAAATCTGCATACTATTTATTTGTTTTTTTTTTTTTTTTAATTTAATTTTTTTTTTTTTTTTTTAATTTTAACGATATAACCCCTTATAAAATATTGAAAAAAATTTTAAAAAAATGTATTTCTTTCTGGCATGGCTAGAAAGATTCGCCTGTTGATGCTGATCAGGAATATATATGATTTATAGGGTCGGAAATGGCTCCTTTGCTGATTTGCAAGCTTCTGAACAAAATTATAATTCCCTACGAGGGTAGAAAAATGAACTTTCTTTAAAAATATTACTCAAAGAAAATAACAAATTTAAGAAGTATAGAGAAGCTATTCAGCTATTTAATATTTATTAATTTTTTATATTTATATTTATCTTTAGCTCTCTGGCTTCATAGAAGTATGTATATTTTTGGTCTAGTTTAGGCTTATATTTCTCATTTTCCTGTATTCTCGCTTATCAAGGACCTTAAACAAGTCATGAAAGATCCTTGAGTGCTGTATTCCGTGTAGCTTAGATGGAATAACTTTTAAAGCTGCTTTTTACACTAAAGTTGCAGTCAGAACTTATCTTTTTTATAAAAATAAGAGTTTTCTTTTATTTTTTAAATTTTTAGGATTTTTTTTTTAATTTTATTTATCATATCATTTGTCTTTAGAATTTTTATTAATTTTTCAAATTAATATTGAAAATCAAAACGACTTTTTTAACTAAGATCTTATTTTCCTTATATAAAAACTAGAGTTTTCTTTTATTTTTAACATTTTTTACCATTACCATTAGCTTCTTTCATCTTTAGAATTTTATTAATACATAAATTTATCATTAAAAATAAAAAAAACCTTTAAGCTACCACCCTTTTCTCCTCTCTCTCCCTCTTTTTTCTTGCCATTACCTAGTTTCAAGCCCCCTTTTGGGTTTCCCCCACCCCAAAAAAAAGTTGGAAAATATCAATTCGACAAGACGAAGACTCATAAACGAAGAAAACTTTTAACACATTTTTCAAGGTTCATTAATTTGGCATTTCCCCTGTCCCCCTGCACCTGCACGCCTTTTGGAGAGAGGGGAATCAGTGTAAATATTTGAAGCCGCAACCAAAAAAATAAAAAAACTACAATGTTGCGTGTAAATATCCTATATAAATTTACATACAAAACCACCCCACAAATAATTTATGACATTTGCCCATCACCTGCCGCCCCCTGCATTTAGTGTAATGAGTCGACGTAGTCCGAAGGAAGTCAGTATAGTTCTCCTGGCTTTTTGCCATAACTTTTTTTTGGAGGAACTTTTCATTAACCATTCACAAATTTACTTTGTGGGAGCTGCCTTGGGTGTTTTGGGTGGGTGGTGGGCTGTGGGTGATGTTTGCCTGCCAGGGACTTGTCCTCGTGCAGTCAAGGCAAAACTGGCGCCTGCGCCTCACGGCAACCAATTTACTATGTAGTCTCTTTCCCCCTTCCAATGGCAATTTAGGGACTTGCAACTAGGAACTTGCCCACGCGACCCGTTGAACCCCCGCCTCTCCTCAGCTCACCTCAGCTCACCTCAGCTCACCCTGTGCCAGCTTAATCGTTTCGAAGTCCTGGCAATTGCCCATGAAATTTCCACGACTCTCGCCGCTCAGCAATAATTATTAATTGCGGGGGTTGGAGGCGTCCCTTCCGGCTTTTCTACACCTTTTACATGCATCATTGCATCCACGGGATCAGGTGTTTGACATGCCCAAAATGCAAATGCTCAGGTCCTGTCCCTTTTCCATGAGGAAAGGCAGTGGAGACTGGTGAGCAATTACCCACCCGACTAGGGGTTTTAAGGGGTTAAGTGGGTTAAGCGGGGGTTGGTTTTTTGCCTACGTCCCCACCTCCTCCTCCTCCTCCACCTCTTCCGGTCAATTTCGAAATGCATATTGAGTGTTTATGGTATGCGGATCACGCTTGATCGCCCAGGGAAGGACATGTGGCAAGATCATTGGCATATTGAATAGGAGACCGCAACTAGGATAGCTATATACTTCAGAGAGCAGGGAATACTTTGTTTTGGGTACCTTTTTTTTTAATGTAAATTTTTTATTTAAATTGAGCTGCAAAAAATCGTTACTTTTTATGGAATATAGTACAAAGTGCATTCAAGTTTGTTCTTGTTAGGTACTTTATGTTATATTGCTCGCTCTCTTGCTACTTGTCTTTTTTTCTTTGTATCTTTCTCTTTCTCATCTTTTCCCTTTTTCCTTTTTTCTCTTTCTATCTCTTCTTTTTCTATAATCCCTTCATACCTTCCTTTCTTCTACACTTTATCTGCAATGTACAAGCAAAATAACCAAAAAATGTTTGAAAATTCCACTGAGTAGCGAACGAGAGAGTTTCGTTTTAGCTGCATTCTGAGAGATCTTCGAATTTTTACTCTCAGATTTCTCTCTCTCTTTTACTCTCTCTGCAAGAGTAACCGATTCGACCGTTTTGGTGACTCCTAGAGAGACAATTTTGATAAGATTCTTTTCATTTAGTCTTGTGTGAGGAATCCCAAGAGTAAAATGAAGTCTCAAAGTTCTTGACTTGTCTTTCAACCAAGGTTAATATTGATTTGTCTTCAAATCAGACAATTTCTTATTAACTTCACCTAAAGTTCCCCTTCTTTCGCTTAACTGCAATGATCCAAGATCGAGTCCGATGGTCTTGGGATAATTTTTTTGACTCTGAAGAGGCGTGGCCGCTGAAAAGTTACGCCCCGTAAAAAAAAGTAAAGAAAAGAAAAGAATACAACGAAAAAATTGCCAATTGCCATTAAAAAGTTTTTCATTTTGGCCCCAACCGAAATGAGGGAACTTTCTACTTTCAACTCGGTGCTCCTCGCTGCTGGCCATAAATCCAAGCAATTTCTTTTATTGGCCGGGGACCAGGACGAAAGGAGGATGTGGACGAGCCACCAAACGAGCCGCAACAAAATTTATGAACTGACTATGGCGCAAAGCAATAACTAACTGTGTCCGTGTCCGCCCCCTTCAGATATATACTATATATACCATATATATATCTATATATATAATAAATGCAGGGCCAGAAGTAGTTGCCCAGTCTGGTGGCCCGGTCCTTGCTGCCATGTCAAAAAAAAAAAAAAAAGAAAAAAATGAAGGCGAGGAGTGTGTGCGAGAAGAGTTCGCTTGCGTGCCAGGCACTTCCAGACACGGCCCGGGCCCGGCCCATTTGGGTCTGAAGCTCGGGCCAACCAACTAGTCCGAGCGACCATCGCAGCCTATCCAGAGGCCCCGGGCCCATCCTCAGCCTGGCCTGGCAGCCATGTCTGACGCGGAAGCCGGAGGCCGAAGTCAATTACATTTCATTTCCCATCAAGCTGGACAGCCCCAACTGGTAGATATAATGCTATAGCCTGGTCTGTTCTGCAGAAAATCTATATAGGTAGAAGTTCTTTAAAGATATATTTATTTAATTAAAAATGTATTACTTAAAATATAGATTTTAAATATATTTTCAGAGTTAAAATTACTTTCTTTTTAAATAGAAAATATCAGCAATCTTTTGACTTCTGGAAATATATTTTTTAAGATTTTATAAATTAGTACAACTGGTTTTGAGCCCTAAAAATCAGATTTTTAAAGAACTAAAAACCATCAAAAACTCAGCTACTAATGTAGGGAAATCCCCTTAAATTTCAGCTACTAATGGAGTGATGTTTTGACCGAATATATATATTTATATATATTTATGCAAATGTTAACTGTAAAAGAGTGGGCTTTAGCAGCGACGAGGACATGCCGTGTATTTCGACAATTTCGTAGGAAAAGCCCACCTTCATTGCTTTCACCTCCCCTTTTTCCAAAGCAAAGTCAGTCAGTCAAATTCATTGACAACGATGACGACGCTGATAGCGGGTATTTGATTTTTACCTTTAACTTAACAAAGCCACTCAGGCAAACACCACCTCCCCACCTAGATATACCAGCCATCCCCATTCGAGTGGAGAGCTATGTACGTGCTTGAAGCCACGTTGACAATTCGACAAGTGCGGCAGACAAAATGTGATATATACATAAAAAAAAATTGTATATATAGTGGCAAGTATCTGAAGAGTTAGATATGTATATAAACACGAGTATCGATTGGCCGGCGTGGGTTGCATGATAATGATTAAGACCAGACAGTCATGCAGATCCCATAAACTATCCATTCGGTGTTCTCCTTGTGCTGGCTTGAGATTTTTAAAATAACAAACTAATCTGAACTTAAAGTTCTTCGAGCTGAACTAGAGGGGTCTCTTAAGGGGAACATTTGTAAAAAGTATAGGATAGAATGTAAAGATTCAAAGAGGAAATACCCATTTTATTTAGCTTTTTGCTCTCTCACTTTAAGCGCAAGATCGATTTTATGCTCTCTTGAAACTATTTGTTCGCTGAAAGGATCTCCTTCTCACCATTTCTCTCTCTCGTTCGCTCTTCCACTCTATACCTTCAATGTACAAGCAAAGCAGGAACAACTTGGTAGCGAACGAGAGAGTAAGTTTTCATTTTAAATGCTCTCTGAGAGAGCGATGTTGTCTTTTTCTCTCTCATTCTCTCTTTAGTTAAGAGGAATTAATAGGGAAACGCTCTTGTAATTTCCTTTATGTTTAGTCTTGCGTGAGAAACTGAAAGAATACAAGGGTTAAGTCTTTTTCTACTTGAAATTTAAAGGAAAAATATTAAATCTGTATCCCCAGGAAGGTTTCAATAGACTAGAGGTAGACTATAGTATATATTTCTTTTGTCTGACATACTTTCAAGCTTTAACTTACAAGCTAAATCTTCGAGGCAGGCCGAAAGGGGTTCGTTCTTCACCAACCAACATCTTTTCCCAAACTCGTTAGACCCCAAGCGAACTTAGCCAGAAACAGGGAACAGACAACCACCCAGGTGGCTAATGGAGTTGATTCCATTTATCTGTGCCTTCCTCCATGTCTCTGGCTCCCTCGATTTCTAATTCTCGCTGCGGAGGCAATTTCAAGTGCCACATCATTCGACGACTCCACCGGTTGATGCGTCATGACGGGCTGCGTGCCAAATCCTCACGAGTCCCTGCTCCTGTTCACACACACACATGTGTGTGTGTGTAGGGGGGGTCATAAAGGACTCTAGCCCGCTCCTAGAATTTCCATATTTCACTCCATTTATGAGTCGTCATTGCTCCCAAATAAAAAATATAAAAAGGAAGGAGAGAAAATTCGAAAAGGAAAATCGGGTAAAAACGATTTTGCAAAAGAAACGTCGGAGGAAGCCTTAGGTCGCGTGCTGAAATTTGTTTTTGGATTGCTTTCGGAGTCCGGAACGTGGGCGTAGTCCCAGGGGGGGAGAGGGGCGGCAGTGGCAGTTAACCAATGACATAGGTCTAACCCCCTCCCTAGATTTTCCGCTTTTCATGGGGGTAGTTTTCCGCCTCCAAGCGGCGCGTGTCTCTCTCGCTCTGGCTCTACCTCTCTCTCTCTCTTTCTCTTTCACTATATTTCTTTCCCTCTCTTTCTCTTTGTGTGTGTCGTAATTTGAAATACTTTCCATTTTGTTGCCCGTCCACCACCGAACGAAGGAACTATCCATAGTGCCGACCACCCTTGCCTGGAATCCTGGCACGCGATGTCCTTTCCGGTCGTCGTTGTTTCCTCTTTACATCAACGGTGGGGAGTGGGAGCCAGACATGGGGCATACTCCATTTTTTTCCTAAGGAGAAAGACCACCTCCGAAATAGCCTGTTCGTGACTGACTACCCAAAAAAAATATATATAAAAAATAAACGGAGTAACGTTAAATCAAAACGAGCCAAAGCCGGAGAGAAACGACGCATAATTTGTGCCACTGCCGCTGTCCGTGTCCGTGTCCATATCCATGTCCCTGTCCATGTCCCTGTCCGTATTCCCCCTCCTTTCAGTATTTCCCAGCCAGTATATGTGTGAGAGACTGCCGCAGTGCTGTGATGATGACGTGTTTTCAGGGAAATTGCCACATTTCCGCTGTCCATCTGTCCGTCTCAGTTGTTCCTGTCCAGGATTGGTGGGTCTACTAAAAAAGGGGTTTTAATATTTGAAATGCAATTGGTCAGCCAGAAAAGGGAGTGGTCAGTGGACAGACATCAAAGAGGGAGAGCTTTGCTATGAATTCTAGAAAGCAAAAATAAGAATTTTACTTTGTAACCCTCAAATATTTTTATAAAATTAATTCAACTTACTTCAAGTCAAAGTTCAGCTAGTAAATTATTTATTTTCTATTTTATTTTAATTTCAGCGATCGCTTTCCCTATTACAAATCAAACGATGACCGCTGGAAAAACTCGGTGCGACACAATCTCTCCATAAATCCGCATTTTCGCAAGGGCGTTAAGGCGCCCCAAGGTGCTGGCCACCTGTGGGCCATTTCCAGTGGGGATTCCGCTGAAAATGTCCTGGCCTGGGAGCATGTAAGTTTTAATTTTTAAATAAATCGTAAAAAAACTAAAATTAACTTTAAATAAAACTTATAAATCTTGGCAGAAGAAGCAGCGTTTGGATTTGTTCTTTAAAATGGAGTCCATCAATCGGGAGCGCATTCAACAGCATCAGCAGCAGATGCAGCAGCAGCAGCAACAACAACAGCAGCAGCAGCAACACCATCAACATCAGCAGCAGCAGCAGCAACACAATTGCCACTCTCCACAGCAGCAGCATGCAACGCAGCAACATGCAACTTCCGGCAACAATTGCCTGTATGATGAGGCGGCCGTGGCTGCTGCCACGCTTACCCAGGAGATGCTGCAGCAGCAGGGGCCAGGAGGCAATGGAAGCGATAGCTCCCAGCATCACAGCAACCATCATCATCATCAGCAGCAGCAGCAGCATCAACAACAGCAGCAGCGGTTGCTGCCCTTCAATGATCTCCTGAGCGACGATGAGCTGCGAAAGACTGCAGGTCAGATCCTTAATGGAATACATCGCGAGGTGGAGGTTCAGTCGGTGAACTCCATCATCAGTACCTATCACGATGTCTTGCTGGATAATGGTAATAGATAAAGGCAAACCTTGCTAAAAATCCTATTAATTAATTGATTTTTTCCCCCAGAAGACTATCTCAATCCCATACACAAGGACGTGGTGGTCACGGAAAGTGGTCTAAGACAACAACATGGCCATCTGGGCCATAGTCTGGGCCAAAGCAGCAGCAGCTCGCAATACTACATCACCGAGATTGATCCCATGGAGCTGGGCATACAGATGTCCCATCAGGTGGAGCCCTCCGAGGAGGAGGTGCTCTTCAGTGATGAATTTAATTTGAATTACTTTGGCTATAATCCTGGCAGTGATATTGTCGCCTGACCGTTGCGCCACAATAACAACAACAACCGACAACATCAACAGCAGCAGCAACAACAACAGACGCCTGCTCCAGCTCCTGCTATTGTTCCCGCTCAGCCAAGCCATTGATCCCTGCAACAATCGTACTTGTAGCCGATATAACTCATAAGCCAACTCTAAACGAATACTAGTCACACTTTAGCCACACTAACCAGTAACCACCTAAAGACTTTAGGAAGTCCTAGTTCCAGTACCACTCCCAGAACCCCCTCTCCCCCTATGTATAGTGTATTTTTTTTGTGTCAGTACTTTAGTTGAATATAACGTAGATCCTTAGGTTAAGTAGCTTGCTAGCCCTAAGTACCATATCCCTATATATATATATATACATCTATATACGTATGTCTCTTAGCCCTTGCTCAAGTCCGAGCCTAGTTAAGTGTTTTTACATCTAGCCGAATATCCATCCAAGCGTAAATGATACCAGAATCTCCTCGAGCAATACTAATCCTAGTGCCTGGGAGAAACTGTTTACCCTTACGCATGTCCGTAGAACTAATGGCACCCTTAACTGGTTTTATTCATTATGGCAAAAATAAATCTTTTTTTTTTATTAAAAAGAATGATAATGGTTGTGTTTTTTATCAAATTTAAAATATGGGAATTTTCATAAAGAATTTAAACAAAGAACAAGAAAGGAAGCTAACTTCGGCACGCCGAAGTTTGTATACCCTTGCAGATATTATTTCATTGCATTTTATCTATACTTATTATGTTGAGAGTTTGACAGTTACAGTTTTACATTCCCAGTTTTACATTTTCCCTACACCTACCGATCGGTTTATATGGCAGCTATATGATATAGTTGTCCGATTTTCATAAAATTTATACCAAAATTCTGAATTAATAAAATAAGCTTATATCTCAGAGTAGATAAAAATAGTTTGAAAAACAACGAAGTTATAATTTTTTTTCTATTAATTTCCTGATCGTTCCTATGGCAGCTATATGATATAGTCGTCCGATTTTCATAAAATTTCTACGAAAATTCAGAAATAATATAAAATGGTCATATGTAAAAAATAGTGCACATATGTTGAAAAACAGCTAAGTTTTAATTTTTTTTCTAAAAATTTATCGAACATTTGTATGGGAGCTATATGATATAGTCGTCCGATCCGGCCCGTTCCGACATATATAGCAGTGAGAGCATATAGAAGACTATATGCAAAGTTTCATTCAGATAGCTTTAAAACTGAGGGACTAGTTTGCGTAGAAACAGACAGACAGACAGACGGACAGACGGACAGACGGACAGACGGACAGACGGACAGACGGACAGACGGACATGGCTAGATCGACTCGGCTGTTGATGCTGATCAAGAATATATATACTTTATAGGGTCGGAAACGTCTCCTTCACAGCGTTGCAAACTTCTGACTGAAATTATAATACCCTGCAAGGGTATAAAAAGCAAAAGACCAATGCCACTTGTTGGTGCAAGCGTCACTGATCCCGTCTTTGTGTACGGTTTGCTAGATCTTTGCGGTATTTATTGCACTCTCTACAGAATCTACACTTGAGAATTATAAATATTTAATGTAAGAAAAAGCAAAAGACCAATGCCACTTGTTGGTGCAAGCGTCACTGATCCCGTCAATGTGTAAAGAATGCAGAAACTTTGCGGTATTTATTGCACTCTCTACAGAATCTACACTTGAGAATTATAATTATCTAAAAATAACTGCTTTCAGTGACATAAACCATTTGGAAAGTGGTTGTAAAACAAGCTGTCAGGTTATTGCACAGTAAAAGACATTTTGTCAGCTGTTAATTAGAATTATTTATTTAAATTCATAAAATTTAATATTGCTTCATCATTAGTTTTTATTATGATTAATTTTTATTTTGTAATTATTATAACATTTTTTTATTTTTGTAGTTTTTATCACAATTTTGTTTCTTAAACTACCGCTAGAGGTGCTTTTTCAAAAGGTTTAAGAATTCGCTGAATTGGTTTTGAATTTCTGTTTGGTTTATTATATTTTTTTTAACTTATTTTAATCTTTTATCGTTTATGACGTTTAAAAGTTTTTAAAAATTAAAAAAAATTTGTTGTATAGAATTTTTAAGACTAAAAATTTTCTTATCCCCTTTTTTTACATTTCTTTGCGTTTTAAGAGAGTCCGCCACCTAGCGGAAGACTTTAGCCTCCGCAGTAAATCTGTTAATTTTACTATTTTATGTTGAATCGCTGTAAAATCCTGCAGTTAACAGTTCTGTTAAATTAGCGCTGTAAATAACCTTGAAAGTTAAAAAAATAAATGCAAAGCGTTGCCAGTTAGTCTTGAAATGACTCTGTTAATTAACATTTCTGCAAAGCAATTATTATTTTATATTTATTTTTGTATATTTTATTTTATTTTAATTTCTTTATTATTTCTATTTAAATTAACATTTTAAAAGTATTAAAAATTACACTGAATATATTAACACCATATAAATATTCTAGCTAAAAGCTTTTCCAATTTGAAATAAGCTAGATCTAGCTTGAAATAAGCTAAACTCTCACACTGATAACAATAACAATCCAGTTGGTTTCTGGCACTCGACATAAGCGCACGTGGGCTTCTGATAAGAACAGCGCCCTGCCTCTGATTGGCATTAACCGAACGAAGTTTTTGGCGCGCATTTTGCTCGACGTTCATTTGTGGCTACTATTTATATTTCTTCAATTTTTTTGCAAGTGTTTTGCATAGAACTCTTTGTTTTTTTTTCTCTCTCTTTTGTGATTAGAGGGGAGCAAAGGTGTGCGTGTAGTGTAAGTGTGTGCGTGTGTGGATAATTGCAGAGCGCACTTGAAATATTCATGGAACAAGTGCAGCGACAACGGCCTGAATAATTCAAAGAACTACCAAGGAGGAGCAGGAGCAGAAGCAGGAGCACAAGGAGCAGGAACAGGAGCAGGAGGAGGTGCCAGGCAGGTGGGCGGTCGAAGCGGTACAAATGAACATGTAAAGGGAATCCAAGTAGAGAAACAAATGGCAGCGAACAGCAACAAGCCCCGGTACAGGTACCGTTACAAGTGCAACCACAGCGCCGCCGGCACGCTGGAATGCCTCCTGCACCTGGTCCTATTTGCCACAGGTGAGTGGTTAGTCCCTAAGAGCCTTGGAAATGTTTATTAAAATTATTTCATTAACTAAATATATTTTTTTTAAACGAGGAAGATATTTTTGGAAAGATTTTAAATTAATCATAAATAATTATTAAAAAAAAAATTAGTAAATAAATTATTTAGGTGGAAAACTTGTTGTTTTTGAATAATAATAATAAGGATTTTATTGTCAAACATTTATTTTAATTTTTCTTGTATTATTTTATTAATTTTTTTATTTATTTATTATTAAATAGTTATTTTTTTCATTACCAGAAAAGTAATATTAATTATTTAACAAATAAATAATTATCTTAAAGTAAACTAATAAAAAATAATTAATTTAAATTAATTAAAATGGGTAAATTGAAAAAAAGCTATTTGTCTAAATATTTTGCCTTCAGAAAAGAGAATAAATATTGCTTAAAATTTACGCTACGCTTTTTAAAGTATTTTTTTATTTTAAAGTATATATAGAAAATTTATATCTATTATTATATATTTATAATTTTAGTTATATATATTTCCTGATTTTTTAATTTATTTTTATGTTTATTTTTCCTTTCCCACAAATACTATTCAAGATGTTCTACTTCTCGTACAGCTGTTTCTTGTTTACCAAAGGGTAAACTGTGCTACTCCTTCATCAGGTCTTTAAATGCACAGAGAGAAAATACAATATGATTTCCATGTGTAAAAAAAGAATTTAGCCCAATTCTTAAACTTTGGCATGTATTTTTTTATTGAAAATATATTAATAATAATTAGGAATTCATATAGAATTTATTGCTTATTAAAATATATTTAATTTATATTTAAACTGTTATATTGTTGCTCTCTCTTTAATTCCTTCAAGTTTCTAAAAAAAATTGTAAATGAATTAAATTTAGTTGTTAATTTTTTAATTACTACCCTAAAATTGCGTAAAGTCCTTATGGAATAGTATTATAATTTTCCCACCGTGCAGCACATGCAATTCCCGTGGGGGTGACCGACCGACCAAAAAGCAGTCCCCCGAAAAAAAATCCCCCATCTGACGCTGGCCAACGCGGCGTATGCGTAATTTATGGGCCTGCTCCCATTGCATTCCACTGCCAGTGCGGGCCATAACGGTACTTAACGAAATTAAAATGCGAGCCGCTCTCCATTTACTTCCCTTCCCTCTCCCCATATCCAGCGGTGGAAATGAACAGCAGCAGCC